TCCATCGTTTCTACATTTGGTACATTACATTTGCTTTTGCTTTCTTTTTTTACGTTCTTTGCCGCTTGAGTAGGTGTATTATGGTTGATTTAGACTTTTTCACCCAATTGACATTCCCTTTTGAATTTGTTGGCTTTATTTATTACAGAATAATGTTTCTTATTTCTTTCATGTTCATCATCCATTCATATGTATTTTAATAAGTATTTATTATATTATCTTTTACTAGCTGAAAATTGTGTGACAGCAAAATGATCATTCATGAAATTTATAATCACGGACAGCAGTAATATCTAAGTAAATTTTCATATTTTATATTTGCTTGGTTTAGTATATTTTTTATATCTTGCATCAGACACTGTACTTGTATCTTTAGAATTTTGCTTTTATTATACTATTTTTTTATTTTGCTTTTATTATACTACGTTTTTTATTTTGCTTTTATTACATTACTAATCATTACTAACCTAGACGCCGACATTCGGGAAGATGGTAGGCTAGATTCCGTGGAGGGCTTTTTGATATTCTGTCATGTACATTCAGCATTCTTTGTGCGTAGAAGTTATGAGAATTTATAAATAATAAAATTATTTTCTTCTTATTCCATACCGTTTTTCGGCATAATCTTTCTTCGTATACGTAACTAATCCCCGTAGTTTGTTGACAATAATTTTTAGCGCATTTTTTATTTTTTTTAAAATTTTCACATAAAGTCACCCTTAAAAGATATTACAGATGATTATCTATATAATAATTCGAATATATCACCTTATAAGTGTTAGAAAAAAGAAACAATAATTCCATATAAGCAACCTACCGTGCCCGGCTTAAATTTTAATTACGGTTTAATTATACGATATTCATTATAATTGTGATAACAAGCGAAATTAAAGATAGACCATTAATAAAGAATTGTTTTCTTTAAACCTGTCACTCTGTTCGTGTGTGTGTGTGTGTTTGTGTGTGTGTGTGTGTGTGTATATATATATATATATATATATATATATATATATATATATATATATATATATATATAATTTACCTTGTGTAATCGCATGCAAAATAGTGTTGTACTTCTACACACAGGCATACAAATATTCTTGCAATTTGACGTGACATTAAGCTTTATTTACATAGGAATACATGCATGTCAACAGTGTTTACTTGAATAAATAAAGATGAATATTGATTTATTCCTCTGATATTAGAGGAAAAATTAATAATATTTATCGCTTCTCTCTCCAGTAACTTCCTTTTAAAGAACAGTTGTATAAAAATTATTCGACCCTCGATTATTCGTGCTTATTTTGTTGTAATGAATCATTCCAAATTTGATAAAATTTATCTACTCAAAGAGCGCCAATCACCCGCCTTAGCACATGATGTGATAGCAAAATGGGGGAATTAATATCATTTATAAAGCTATTTCCAAAATTACCAAGCGAAAAAATTGCATAAATATTCATACTCTGGCATAGAAATAAGGTCGCCATTAAATCATATCATATCAGCAGGCCTACTCAGAACAAGTAGAAGACTGTTTTATTGACTTTTTTCGCCTTCATTATATAGTCTTCTTCGAGAATTAAGTAAATGTGTGTGTGTGTATGATCTTTTTCGGTTATGAAACGAAACAGTCTATCTAACGAAAGCAAAACGCGTAGCCAATAAAACAAATTTGATTTATCAATCTTTTCTTTAGATGCTATATCCTACTAACACACACATACACACACACATATTCACAGTCACACATGTGCAAACAGAAATACGCAAGCATACTCACATATACGCACTTACACACACACACACACACACACAAAAACATATATATATATATATATATATATATATATATATATATATATATATATATATATATCAATTAAGCACACAATCCAACAAACTTTGTGCCATGTTCTAAAGATTGTGTTCAAGCGTGAAACAAACTGTCGACACCCTTGTGCACGTATATCTATAAATATAGCATACATTAAAAATGTTTTTATCATACACATTATATCTATCTATCTATCTATCTATCTATCTATCTATCTATCTATCTATCTGTGTGTGTGTGTGTGTGTGTTGTTGTGTCTAAGAGAGAAAGAGAATGTGTGTGCGAGAGCAAAAGAGGAAGTCTGCGAGAGATAGAGTGAGAAATATTTACACAAATTAATAAGTTTTTTCTGCTTTTATATCTGACCATTTTCTTCAAACTTTGTGTTACTTTTTAAGATAGAGGCCAAAACTTGATCATTATTTGTTACGTGTAAATTGAGAATTATTTAATATATTTCAAGAAGAGGTTGATTATAGTAATAAATAAGAATCATAATATAAGATAAAATGAGAAATGCTAAGCTTTGTGTTCGATTTATCTGACAATATCATATTATTGCTACTCATTTTCAGTATACACTATATTCTTTTTTCATACGAGACTTTACACTTAGGCATTAAAACCCAATTTGTTTACAAATAGAACAAAAATTAATGATTTATAAACAATTGGCATACACCGTGGTACTTTGCAGGGATTTTATTTGAAGGAGAGATACAGTAATTGTTGATCTTAATACCTATGTATATTGTTGTATGTCAATGCAAAAATATACATAGGTATTTAGTTGTGAATTAATTGTCTGATGTTAGTGTGAATGGAAATGAGATGTGTGTACATTTTTCTTAATATTTTCATAAAAATAAGTACATTTATTCCTGGATAAATACATTTTTACCGTTTAAAAAGATGTCTGAGCTAAAGTCTGTCAGCAATTCTGATGCATTTTATTGTATTTATTTTGAACATATTTGTCAACCCAGAAGTAAAAATGATTGCCGAATCATTGACGATGGACGAATAAAAACGAAAAACAGTGAAGTAAATTATTACTTCAATGTTTTTGCCATCTAGTGTATGGTCAAGAAAAGTCATGGGCCTCTCATCTAATTTATAATATTTCCAAAGAAAATCTTCGACATTGGAATCCACGGGAAGGAGCGAAATATAGTTTGCAGCTATACTGAAATAACAGACAGATACGACGATGAAACAAAACGACCCTCTTAATTCTTTTACAAAGATGATTTAAAAGATCTGGTGCGACGAATATGTCTATCGAAACTGTGTACCCTCTATAATAAGAATAAATGTCCTTCTGCGCGGACCAAAATAACATTCTATCGCGCAAGATAATATAATCCGTTTCATCTTTTTTTTTCTTTTATACTAAAGAAGATCATTTTCAGTATTATAACAATGTCATAAAACTTCTGGAGATATCTTTAACTGAATAACATCCTTTGGGATCACAAATATATTTTTCTTCATACTGGAAACGGATATGAAAGCATGGCATTTTATCATTCAACAACAATTAAACATCTATAGCTTAAATTGCCATATAACGATCACCAATTAGTCATAAGGCTTACAGCCTCATTACGTGGAAAAGTCGCTTTCCGTACGATCACCGAAGTTAAGCAACGTCAAGCCTGGTCAGTCAGTAACTAGATTGGTGACCTCTTGGGTATACCAAGTGTTGCATGTTTAGATAGGCGGGTGGTGTAAGAGATAATGGTTCGTAATTGTTAATCGGTGAGCAGAGATCCAATTCTAGAAAAGTTCGATATATTCGCTTATATTTAATTACAAATGAACACCTGGAAAAAGTATGAAGCTATCACATTTCCTCCAACCATGGGTTAATAAGTAAAACTTTTTTCCACTAAAACGATTATCGCCCCAAAAAATTAAAATAAAATGGGGTAATAATAATTTATATTTCGGCATCAAATGACCCATAGAGTTGTAGATATACCGTTGAAACAAAAACAACAATTCGTTATATGTGTAGACATTTAAATGGAAAATTATCACTTTGAAATGAAAGAATGTGGTACAAATAAAAATGAAGAATGCAGATACATTTCCAATAAAAAGTACCAGGTACACAACTCAAGATAGATAGATAGATAGATAGATATAGATAGAGAGAGAGAGAGAGAGAGAGAGAGAGAGAGAGATACATTTCCAATAAAAAGTACCAGGTACGCAACTCAAGAAAGAGAGAGAGATAAATTCCCAATAAAAAGTACCAGGTACACAACTCAAGAAAGAGAGAGAGAGAGAGAGAGAAAAGAGAGAGAGAGAGAGAGTGATACATTCCCAATAAAAAGTACCACGTACACAACTCAAGAAAGATAGAGAGAGAGAGAGAGGATATCTCAATAAAAAGTACCAGGTACACAACTCAAGAGAGAGAGAGAGAGATACCATTCCACAACTCAAAAAGAGAGAGAGGTACATTCAACTCTAGAAAGAGAGAGAGAGTGAGAGAGAGAGTGAGAGAGATAGATACATTCTCAATAAAAAGTAACATGTACACAACTAAAGAAAGGGAGAGAGAGTGATACATCCCCAATAAAAAGTACCAGGTACACAACTCACGAAACAGAGAGAGAGAGAGATACATTCCCAATTAAAAGTACCAGGTACACAACTCAAGAGAGAGAGAGAGAGAGAGAGAGAGAGAGAGAGAGAGAGTGATACATTCCCAATAAAAAGTACCAGGTACACAACTCAAGAGAGAGAGAGAGAGAGAGAGAGAATGATACCTTGTTCTCCAATAAAAAGTACCAGGTACACCAAGAGATAAAAAGTACCAGGCACAGGTACACTACTCAAGAAAGAGAGAGAGACTGAGAGAGACTGAAAATGAGAGAAAGAGTGAGACATTCCCAATAAAAAAGTACCAGGTACACAACTCAAGAAAAAGAGAGAGAGAGAGAAAGAGACATTCCCAATAAAATTTACAAGAGAGAGAGAGAGCGACATTTGCATTCCAATAAAAGTACCAGGTACACAACTCAAGAAAGATAGAGAGAGAGAGAGAGAGAGAGTGATACATTACCAATAAAAAGTACCAGGTACACTACTCAAGAAAGAGAGAGAGAGAGACTGTTACTTTCCCAATAAAAAGTACCAGGTACACAACTCAAGAGTGAGAGAGAGAGATACATTCCCAATAAAAAGTACCAGGTACACAACTCAAGAAAGACAGAGAGAGAGAGAAAGTGAGACATTCCCAATAAAAAGTACAAGGTACAATCAAAAGTTTAGATTCAAAGTATGAGAGAGAGCGAAAGAAAGTACCAGGACAACTCAAGAGATAGAGAGAGCATTCCCAATAAAAAGAACTGAGAGAGAGACATTCAACTACCAGGTAAAACTCTAGAGAGAGAGAGAGAGAGAGAGAGATATGAGATGCAATTTTCAATAAAAAGTAACAGGTACACAACTAAAGAAAGAAAGAGAGAGAGAGAGAGAGAGAGAGATATACATTCCCAAAAAAATCTAGAGAGAGAGAGTGATTTTTAACAGAGAGTTTTAGAGATTCCAATAAACATAAAAAAAGACCAGGTACACAACTCAAGAAATCGAGAGAGATTGATAAAAGTACCAGGAAATAGATAGAGAGAGAGACATTCAATGAAAAAGTACCAGGCAAAAATCAAGAAAGAGAGAGTGAGAGAGAGAGAGAATGAGAGAGATACATTCCCAACAAAAAGTACCAGGTACACAACTCAAGAAAAAAGAGAGAGAGAGAGAGAGAGAGAGAGACCAGATACATTCCAGAAAAAAAGTACCATCATACACAACTACATTGAGTGTTAGAATGAGAGAGAGAGAGAGAAAGTGTGAGTTTCCCGTTTTAAAAAACCAGTACAACAGGAAATCACAACTCAATTAAAATAGAGAGAGAGAGAGAGAGAGAGAGAGAGAGAGTGATACATTCCCAATAAAAAGTACCAGGTACACAACTCAAGAAAGAGAGAGAGAGAGAGAGAGAGAGATACATTCCCAATAAAAAGTACCAGGTACACAACTTAATGAGTGTTAGAATGAGAGAGAGAGAGATTACCAGGTACACAACTCAATTAAAAGTACCAGGTAGAGCAACTCAAGAGAGAAAGTAAAAAAGTACCAGGTACACAACTTCAAGAAAGAGAGAGAGAGAGAAAGAGGATACATTCCCAATAAAAAGTACCAGGTACACAACTCAAGAGAGAGAGAGAGATAGAGAGAGAGACATTCCCAATAAAAAGTACCAGGTACACAACTCAAGAAATAGAGAGAGAGAGAGAGATACATTCCCAACAAAAAGTACCAGGCACACAACTCAAGAAAGAGAGAGAGTGAGAGAGAGACTGAGAATGAGAGAAAGTGAGACATTCCCAATAAAAAGTACCAGGTACACAACTCAAGAGAGAGAGAGAGAGAGAGAGAGAGAGATAGAGATGCATTCCCAATAAAAAAGTACCAGGTACACAACTCAAGAAAGAAAGAGAGAGAGAGAGATATATATACATTCCCAAAAAAACTCTAGAGAGAGAGAGAAAGAGAGTGAGAAAGTATGAGTTACATTCCCAATAAAAAAGTACCAGCTACACAACTCAAGAAATCGAGAGAGAGATTGATACATTCCCAATGAAAAGTACCAGGTACAAAAATCAAGAGAGAGAGTGAATGAGAGAGAGAGTGAGAGAGAGAGA